AGTCGCACGAGCAGAGCAGACCCCCTCCCCCTTCCGCCCAAGTCGAAACGCCGAACAAAGAAAAAACGCTCACATGGACGTCAGTCGCACTGAGCAGAGGTAGACCCCCCCCTCCCCCCCTTACCCACGTCGAAAACGCCGAATAAAAAAAAACGCTCACATGGACGTCAGTCGCACTGAGCAGAGGTAGACCCCCCCCCTCCCCCCCCCCTTACGCCCAACGTCGAAACGCCACATAAAAAAAACACGCTCCATGGACCTCCTCCCCTCCTCCTCCTCCTCCTCCTCCTCCTCCGCCTCCTCCTCTCGTCCTCCTGTTACCCCTCCCCCCGTTTCTGCCGTTTCTCGCTAAGCCAGCGTCTGAACCCTTCCCCCTGCTCCTCGTCCTCCTCGTCCTCCTCCTCCTCCTCGTCCTCCTCCTCCTCCCCTCCCCTCCCACTCCCGCGACTCCTCCTCTTCTCCTGCAGACCCCGCGCTGTGGCAAAGCGCCGGGCTCGCGGCCGACCTCCGCCGTGCGCCCCGAGGGCCCCCCCCCCCCCTCGCCCTGCAGAGGCGCGGCCGCCCTTGGAGGGGCCGGGCGGGCAGACGCCCCATCGGAGCGCCCGCGGAAGCAGCGAGGGGATTTTTCGACGAAAAATACAACATACCCCAAACATACCCCAAAAAGTTAAACATTTTTTTGACGAAAAATAAGAAATACTCAAAATAAGAAATGCCCCCAAATATAGCCAAACATAAGAAGATTTTCGAAACAAAAATGCGAACTACGAAGAAGTTTCGACGAAAGATAAGAAAGAAGTGCAAAGACGAATACGGACTTCCAAGACATATTCAAGAAATACGAAGATTTTCGACGAAACATACAAAATACCCCAAACATATTTCAAAAAGTCAAACATATTCAAAACATAGTCCCCACACTATGGTTTGATTATTTGTTTTGATTTTTGTTTTTTTCCGTCGAAAGTCCCCCTGTATGGGGGACAGGCCCGACTTAAAACAAGCTGCCCTCCAAGAGATGAAAACGTTGTTGGGTTCAGGGTTTCCGAAATCGCCCACATGAGCCTTGACGGCCAGAGAATTTCGAACACCAGGAGAGTGCCGAAACTTGAGGCCATTGTCGTTCGACACTTCGCCAGTGTGTCGGGCGGGCACTGTATTCCTGGGATGTGGTCCTTAAGTACGATGGGGACCATATAAGCCGAGGCTGGAGGGCAGCCTAGAACCGGCGAGGACACCCGACAACCTATATCCTCGACTACACGCAAGAGTGACCTTTCTCAGGAGTGAGCTTTGGTGCGGGCCCTCGGGGCTCAAGAGACTGGGGTCAATGCGAACGGGGGCCAGCCAGGGCGCTGGAACTTGCAGGACTCCGCAGGGCCAGGGTGGCATTGATCTGGGCTTGGGCGCAGGGTCCTGCACAATCCTGCAGCATCTTGCAGGATCCTGCAAAGCTTGACTGACCTCCTCCTCCTCCTCCTCCTCCTCCTCCTCCTCCTCCTCCTCCTCCTCCTCCTCCTGGGTCAGTAGATCCCCGAGGCCCGCTGGGCTCCCCCGATCGCTGAACGCGAAGTGCCAGCAGTGGCTGGCGCGCTCGGTGTTGGCCACCTCGCGCCCCCCCCGGAAGCCGCGCCCCAGAGGGCACTCTTGCCTAGGGTCACTCTTGCATGTAGCCGATGAACTCGACCCTCGCCGATTTGTGGTCATGCCGTTTTTGGTCCCGGGGCTCTCGGTTCCCCCCCAGGCTCGCCGCCGACCTTCGTCGAAGAGCAAGCGACGGCCCAGCAGCAAGTTCTCGGAGATATGCGCGGGTTTCTTGGGTCGGCGTTGGACCCCCCCTCCAGGGCGCGCCGATCCAAGAAATCCGCTCTGACCTCGAGCAGTTAACAGTAGGCACATACGGTCAAACATCTTGATTTCAGAACTATTGGGGCATCATCTTCATCGATCTTTGAGGGTCCTAAGGTGCCCCCGAGCTTCTGTGGGCCCCTGGGGCCATCGGGTGATAATAGGAGACCTCCGAGAAGTTACACGCCAGTCGTTGAAGGTAGGTGTGTTTGGATCCCCAGATCCCAATCCATTTTAGCCGCCTGTCGACTTCAAGAGTCGAACGGTTTTCCCGAGTCGAACGGTCGTCCCTCTTCCTTCCTCTTCAGGGGGCGTGCCAGGGTCAAGTCTGCTTCCGACGCCTTCCTGCTCCATGGTGCCACCCGCTTCCTCCGACGGGCGGGTCTGCGTATGCGCCTGTTTGGGTTCCTCTACAGTGAGCGGCTTGAATAAGAAACACTTACTTTTCAAAAGGGGCTCGGTCGTTCCTTGGTCCCGCATGCGTTATTAATCGTTCCGTATGCGTTATTTATTATTTGTCGTTCCTTATGCATTATTCCTTGAAAAAAAAGACTTCGTTCCTGATTTAGAGTTCCTTAGGTAAGGCCGATGACTGTACTCAAGGTCGGTGCAGTGATACTCCCGCGAGCCCCGAAGCCCCCGCCCGCGAGAGGTGCGCCGCGCCGTGAAGGGGCGCGGCTGCTCCAAGGATCGGGGGTTGCAAAAGGTGCCCCTGGCCCAAGGTGCCCCCAGCTTCCCGCTCAATGTTGGAGCCCCCAGGGCCCCCTGGGCCTCGTGAGGGGTGCTCTGTGGGCCGTGGGGGCCTCCCTGGAAATCCTGGGGGCACCTTGGGCCAGGGGCACCTTGGGCCAGGGGCACCTCCTCCTCCTCCTCCTGCTCCTCCTCCTCCTTCTCCTCCTCCTCCTCTCCTCCTCCTCCTCCCTCTCCTCCTCCTCCTCTCTCCTCTCCTCCTCCTCCTCCTCCTCCTCCTCCTCCTCCTCCCTGGAGATCCTGGGGGCCTCCCTGGAAATCCCGGGGGCCCTTCCGGCAGCACCCGGCCAGGAGGCCTTCGGCGGCACGCGCGCGCTGATGCACCACCTGCTCGAGGGCTACGCCTCGGCGGGGCGGCTCCCCGAGGCGCGGGCCCCTGCCTCGGGCGGCGCGGCACCCAACGGGGGGCCGCCAGCGCCGGCGCTCGCGCGCGAGCACGCGCGCGCGCGCAAGCAGCGGCAAAGCGTCCTGGCTCGCCTATAGCCCCACCCAACAACGTTCTAAAACCTTTTGTGGTCTGCACGGGATGTTCCTAGAACGTTTCTGGCGGAGTCTGTCTTGGTTTCACACATCGGGCTCATGTTCTAAGCACATGGTTGTTGTTCTTCGAACATTTGTGGGTTCCAGGAACATTTCGTGGTAGGGCTATAGGAATGCCGGGACGGTCGGTCCCTGCTCAAGCTTTAGGGACGGTCGGTCCCTCCCCAGATTTCGCGGCGCCTCGTCTTAGCTCCTCACGTCCCTGGCCCCCCCCCCCTGGGCCGAACACGTGCTTCGGGCTATGCTTTGCACCCCCCCTCTTGGGCACCCCCCTCTCGAACGCCCCCCAGCGCGTGAGCACGCTCGCGCGCAAGCACGCCTGCACCGACGTCAGGTCGCGCGTAAGGTCGCTCGCGCGACCGCGCGACCCCCCTTCAGGAAGAAAAAGGAAGGGCCCGAACGGAGAGGGCTCTTCCAGGGCGCCTTTTTTCGCGCCCCTGCCGTCCCCAAAAGGAGCCCCCGGATGGCCCCTTTTTGGGACACTTGTCTTCACCCCCTCTTTTGAGGGCACCTCTCAGTGCCACCTGCGGAAGGTTGCGCGTAAGCACCCTCTCTCTCCACTGCCCGCGTAAGGTCGCGCGTGATCGCCCTCGTTCTCCACGCGGCGGGCCGCGCGGGCGGCCTGCCACAGCCACCGCGTAGGGTCGCTATGTCCTCTCGCGGTAGACTCTTTTCTTCCCGTCGCTCCCCGAGGCAGGGGCCCACTTCGAGCCGACCGGCCCCCCAAAATCTCCAACGAAACGACGCCGACGACGCCGACGACGACGACTGCAGCGGCGGCGACGACGACGACGACGACGACGACGACGAGGACGACGACGACGACGACGAGGAGGACGACGACGACGACGACGACGACGACGACGACGACGACGACGACGACGACGACGACGACGGCAGCGGCGGCAGCGGCGGCGGAGACGACGGCGGCGTCCGCGGCGGACGCGGCGACGACGGCGGCGAGCCAGAGACCCGGCGAGGGGCGCGCCGCAGAGAGGTCCTCGCCCTCGGGGCGCTCGGGAGGAGCTGGCACCCCTCCCTCGGCGGAGGATTGGCGGAAGGACGGCGGACGCCCACGGAAGGAACGCGAGGCCGCCTCCCGCTGGCGGAAGCCGGCGGGAGGACGCCGAACTCGTGGAGTCGGGCCTGTCCCTCTGCAGAGGGGGAGTCAAGTCACAGTCTGGGGGCGACGTTTTGCCATTTGGGGTCGTTTGTTTTGTATGTTTGTGCATCTTGTCGTCCAAAATCCGCCTGCAGGGGGACACGCCCGACCTAACGACATCTGCTGCTGCTGCTTGCCGGCCCCCGTCTTGCCGGCCCCCGTCGTCGTCCTCTCGTGCTGCTCCCTTGTCTCTGCTACCCGGCGTTCCCCGTCCTCGCTGGCCCTGTGCTCCTCCTCGTCTTCCTCCTCCTCCTCCGCCTCCTCTTCCCCCTCCGCCTCCTCCTCCTCCTCCTCGTCCTTCTCGTCCTCCGCCTCCTTCTCCTTCTCCTCCTCCTCCTCCTCCTCCTCTTCCTCCTTCGTCTTCTCCTCCTCCTCCTCCTCCTCCTCCTCCTCCTCCTCCTCCTCCTCCTCCTCCTCCTCTTCCTCTTCCTCGTCCTCCTACTCCTCCTCGTCCTCCGCCTCCTCCTCCGCCTCGTCCTCCTCCTCCTCCGCCTCCTCCGCCTCCCTCGGTGGAGCGCGGAAGTAGAGAGATGGCAGCATTTTGGGGTTCAGGGCTCGCGGAGCCCACCGCCTAGAGTCGATCGGTCCCCACATCTCCGACGACCTGGTTTTCTCGGCAGGCGTTGTCTCCTCGACTTCGGCCCCCTGGGGCCTGGAGTTATCGTTGGCTCCCGGAGGCTCTCGTCGGCTCCCGCCGCCTCGCCGAGGGCATCCCCGGGGAGGCCCAGCGCGGTGCCGAACGGCCGCCGGAGGCGTCCCGAGCACGCGACTGCCACAACGAAGCATTTCGTGGACGACCAGCGTGTCCCAAAATGACGACGCATCTCGACGTATGTTCGGAAACCCTGGCATCGCTCGGACGTGTGCATTTTTTCTCGGCGAGGGCCATCGAGGAGCATCCGTGATCACTTGGCGAAAAAACCACGCACGAAACCGAACAAAAGCACAGGGAATGGACGTCCGAGCGATGGCCAGAAACTGGAGCATACACACCACCAGCGGCGGGCGGTTCTTCAATCCCAGGACTTCTCTTGAGGGTCGGGGACGACGTCGGAATGGTGTGGTGCATACTTGTTTCCACGTTTTTTCTCTGGGAAACCACGAAGCATGTATACACCAGGATCTCGTATACACCAGGATTCGCTTTCTTGTGCGAGATTCAGTGTCAGGCCAGACAAAGGCGTCGGTGTATAGAGTTCGGCTCCTTGTATGTTGCTCCGATCGTACTTATGGACCACATCCCAGAAATAGTTTCGAGCACCCATGCATGTATCGAAACAGTGTCGAACGAGCATCGCCTCCCAGGGCCCGACACGTGAACACCCTCCAAGTTTTGGTACGTTCTCGGTGTTCGAAACTCTTCCTGGTGACCACGGCGAGAGCAGGCTGGGACATCATACATCTCGACTGCACACGGAGCCCTGGCGAAGCTGTGGCCCCCCTGTGCGTTCGCCCCCTGGCCCCAGGCCCCCCCCTGCACCGCGAGCTTCCCTCCCCCGAGCACCCGGCCCGCCGACCGCACTTCGGCCGCCCGCGGGCTGGATCTCCTGGCCCGCTGCGGGGGAAGGAGGAGGAAGCAGAGGGGGGGAGGTGGGCGAGGGCGAGGCAACTCGCAGCGACGGTGTGATTGCTCAACACTGGCGTCGGCTCCCGGACATGCCCGCCGCAGGCACCGCCAAGGTCCCTTGTCCTGGGCCGCCCACGGGCACTGCACAAGTGCCTTCCCCAGGCGCCCGCAGGCACCTCCAAAGTGCCGCTCCTGGGCTCCCCGCTGGCGCCACTCGCCGCAGGCCTTCTCCGGGCCCCCGGGGGCCGCAGCAAGGCGTGCCCCTTGGACGAGAGGCGGCCCCCCTCGGGGAAGGGATGGGGGGGGCCGCGGGCGGAAGAGCTCCGCTCGGCGGAGGTCTGGGCCCCCCAGCCGATCGAGGCGATTCTCGGAGGCCCTCTCTCCTCGAGGCGCTCTCAGGCAGCCCCTGCGCCTCGCCGAGGGCGTTCCAGGCAGGGCCCGCCTCGATCCAATCGATGCGACTCTCGGAGGTCCTCTCGCCTCGGGATGCGTTTTCGAGCAGCGCTGCGCCTCGCCTGGGGGGGGGGGCGCCCGAGGCAGGGCCCACTTCGATGCGATCGGCCCGATTCTCGGACAGCCTGCGCTCCAGTGTTTTCGAGGTGCGGGCCCGCGATGGTGCGCACCGCGTGCCAGCTCTTCTCATCCTGAGTCGTTTCTTGGCGGTCCTGGGGCGAACAACGAAGAACGAAGACGACGACGGCGACGGCGACAGCGGCGGCGACGACGTCGACCAGCACCGCCACCGCCACGACACCCGAGGAGACCACTACATCGCCGATCGTGGCCCGGACTGTCTGGACGTGGGACTGCGTGCGGGGCTACGCCCGATTCATGTTCGCAGTTTGGGCTGGCCGCGGGGCCCAAGCGGCGAGCTGTCTTGTGATTTTGAGGCGCGGGCCCGCGGAGGTCTGCACTGCGTGCCAGGTCTTCAAATCCTGAGACGTTTCTTGACGGTCCTGGGGCCCGTTGAGGGCTCCCGTCGTGATTTTCGTTGGCGCGATCGTGTCTGGGTGGCGGGATTCTCGGATGTCCGTCCTCTTGCCACGAGATGCCCCCTCGAGCAGCACTGCCAGGGGGCCACATGCGAACCCTACCCCCTACCCCCCATGATTTCTGAGGGGGAGGGTGGGGTTCACCCCGAACGAAGTGAACCCCACCCTCCCCCTCAGAACTCGTGAGGGGCAGGGGTAGGGTTCGCACGTGGCCCCCTTCCTGCGTCTCACCAGGGGGCGCTCTGGGGATGCCCCCGCGGGTCGTCCCCCGAAAGCGTTCGCCGCAGACGTGCCCGAGCGGGGTCGCGTGGCCCGTGAGGCAGGCCCCCGGCGTCGGCTGAACCAAAGCTTTGGGTCGCGGCTCTCGGAGGCGTTGGTCGAGAATGAATTGGAAGGCAACCGCTTCCGTGCACATTTTCACCCACTGCTCACGTCTAGGCCTCCTAGATGGGGTCGGGGGATCGCGCCGCATCGCCGATTCATCGGCGATGCGGCCCGATGCGGAGCCCGATTTTCTCCATGCCGACGTCGCCGATGCATCGCCCATGTCGACGATGCATCGCCAGGCATCGCCGATGCATCGCCGATACATCGCCGATGTATCGGCGATGCGGCGCGATCCCCCGACCCCATCTACTCCGACCCATCCAGGAGACCTCTATTAGAAGGCATCCGCTTCCGTGCACATGTTCAACCATTGCTCACGCGCTATGGCCGGCGCAAGGCTTCTGGACTGGGACTGGACCGACCCTTTACGAGAACCCCTAACCTCAATACACCCCTGCACGAGCAAAACAAGACAAATGGCCGATGGGTATCGGCGGCAGGGAGCAGTGAGTGGTGGCTTTCACATGGACTTGCTTACGTATCACATTATTGAGGCCGCGGCCTCCACGCCATACCCCAATGGGCACGGGCGGACTGCCTCGCGGGGCGCGCACGACTCCGGTGTTCGTCCGCTCGTTCGTTCTAACCCTAGTAACACACTGAAGCCGTAGCCTCACATGTGCCCCCGCTTTTGCATCAGGGATCGGTTGGCGGTGGTTTGGCTTGAAGCCGCTGCCTCACATCAATCTAGGTGGTTTGGCTTGATCCCGGTGCAGGAGCGACCTCCTGTCCCGAAAGTTCTGGGCCTCCTGGCCCAGGTCCGCTCCCAGAGGGTTATAGGGCCCTTTTGTTGCTAATCAGTGGGAGGAGGAGGAAGGCGGAGGAGGAGGAGGAGGAGGAGGAGGAGGAGGAGGAGGAGGAGGAGGAGGAGGAGGAGGAGGAGGAGGAGGAGGAGGAGGAGGAGAGGTGAGGAGGAGGAGAGGAGGAGGAGGAGGAGGCCTGAGAGGAGTTTCGGGGCGCCATTCTCCAGAGGAGGAGAAGGTGCCCATGCCGCTACCCTCGCCCTGTGTTGGCTTTCTTGGGCCTCCTGGGATGTCTTCCTCGCCGCCGCGGGATTCGCCCCGAAATCCTGGTCAGAACGCACCCTGGGAGAGGTCTGGTGAGTGACAGTATCGGTGCCTTTCGGCTTCCCCAGGAATGGGGGGAGGAGTTTTTGGGCGCCGTTCTCGATGTTGCAAAAGATTTGGATCATGTGCGCCACTCGGCATGGTTGCCTGCGTTTCTGGAATCTGGTGTGTCTGCTTCTACACGGTCAATATGCTGAGACGGCTGCATCTCGAACGCAGAACATTGAATCTGGCATCGGACGAGATTTTATCTCAGATGTGGGCGGCACGTGTGTTCAGAGAGGGTATGGCACGTTCGTGGGGAAAGGCATCGACGGAGATTGCCTCACGCACGCAGCATCTGCGGATGACCAGACGCGCATAGCCAGAAGCTGGATTTCTATGACAAAATGATCATAGTGCTTTGTGGTGCTCTGGCAAATTTGGGCATGGATTCGCACCCCACCCACAGGGATGCGTTGTGAGGACTGCGTCCGGGGATTCTGCAGAGACGGAGGACTGGGGGGTGGCACCGTCTCACCGGAGGCGCAGAGGAGTAGCAGAAGCTAGCGCCAGATGTCCATTCATGTTCCGTAGAGTCGCACTTCGATCCAGGGGGGGTCGCGAAGGGTCCTGCCCCGTGCGGGGCCACCTTGACAGAATTTCCATTCCACTGCACTCCACTCCGGCGCGCTGGCAAAAGAAAGAAGGAAGCTCTCTGAGCCGTGCAGCAGGCACACCTACGGTAAGGGCGTTCGTCAAGGAATGTGCCGAGGGGTTCGGAGAGGATCGAGGTTCGAGGTTTTCCCTGGTTTCGTCGGTTCCAAGCGGTTTTGAGGCTTCGGGGTGCCTTCCAGCAGTTGCTCCTCGTCGAGGGAGTTCTGGGGGTGCCCGGATCGTCCCGAACGGCCGCCGGGGAACCGAGCTTTGGCCCGAAAACCTCAAGGGGGTTGGAGCAATCTCGGTGGGGTTTTTCATGAGAGAGAGTGCCCAGGAGGTGTCAGACCCCGGAGGGTTCCTCATCTCATGATGGCGGCGGTGATATGCAAAGCCAATCAATGATTTGAGTTCGCTGGTTTCTGGATCATTTCCGGCCCGACATTGTCAAAGCTCGTGCGCCCGAGTTGCGGAGCCTAGCGTCGACGATGGATGTGCCTTTCGATGTCATCATGCAGCATGTCGCATCGCGCGTGCTCGCACTATTCGGGCCCCATTGCCCGAGGCCCTGGAGCTCCTGGGCGACATGAAGAGCGGAGCTCGGGGGCGCCTGTAGGGGTGGGGGGACAGACTTTGTCGGAGATTCTTTCGGATTTCTTGGATCGGCGTTGGGCCCCGCTGGCGGCGCCTCTGGCGGCGCCCCTGGCGCTCTCGGCGCGCCAGGGAGGGGGTCCAGCGCCGATCCAAGAATCCGCGCGGTCCTCCGACACTTTATGCTGATTTTGTGTTTGTGTGCGTGTGTGTGTGTGTGTGTGTGTGTGTGTGTGCGTGTGTGTGTTTGTGTGTGTGTCACGGTGTGTGTGTGTGTGTGTGTGTGTGTGACGGTGTGTGGGTGGGAGGGGGCTTGTTTTGCTCCTTAATATCCAGGGCCGCCGCCTGGTGGAGCGAGCTTCGGGGACCTTTGCAGGCGGCGGACATGGATTCATTCGGAACCCCCACAGAGGGCTCACATGCAGACAAACCCACATCCGCCGTCCAGTGGGGTCCCAGGACGTCAGTCCCCGATCCTGTGGATACGGATATCCCCCCGCCTCGCAGGACTGGCCGGGGCGGGGTGGGGGCGGGGGCAGCAACGCATCGTCCCCCAATCCCTGAGATCCGACGTCGCGAAACAATGCAGCGTCGCAGCAAATTCGCCCTGAGCCCTGGGCCCTAGTTTTCCAAGTGTTCCTGTTGTTGCGGATCGATCAGCGAGGGTTCCCAGGCCCGAAGCAGGGCAACGTCGCCCGTTGTGAAACAATGCGGAACATGATCTCAGGGGTCGCCGATTCATCGCCGATCGGCGCTCGGGATCCCCGCGCGCGCCCCGTCAAGGACCAGGCGGCCCTGCAGTCGAGGGCTGATCGCCGAGCTGCCTCAGCGATGCATCGCCGATCTCAGCTCAATGTTCCCCCCCTTTCGATCGGGCAGTGCCTGAGGGGGTCACCACGAGGGGTGGTCGCCAGATCCTTTTGGACATCGAGGTTCCATGACCAAAGCTGGAGGAGGTGTTTTGGACGTTCGGGGCCGTGTTTGGGGGGCTGTCGCGCCCTCCGGCCGCCTGAGGCCCCGCCCGCCCGCGCCCTGTCTCCCCAATTAGTGCTTTGCGCGCCCCGCCTAGCTCTTAACCGGAAGAGGCCCGCTCTCGACCCGCAAACCAAAAAGTGTTTGGGGGGCTGTGGAACGCTGTGGGCCCAGTTCCTCGAGGAAAAGTAGCGCTTCCTCGAGGAAGGGGCGACTTCTCTAGAGCCCCCCCACCCCCCGTGGCGTCGCCTCGCCTGAGCTAATCCCCACTTCTCTCAGGAGGGAAAAAACACACAGACACAATTAAGCGTCGATTCCCGAGAAAATATGAGAAACTACGGGAGGTGGCGGGGAAGACAAAAACCCGGAACACATGGGAAACTATGTGGAATAGTTTTATTAGTGTGTATTTATTTGTGTGTCCTGAGGCCCCTTCACTACGAAGGGGATAAAGGTCAGCTCTCTCGGATCGCAGCCGGACCCCCCTTCTTGGCGCGCGGGGGCGCGCAAGCGGAAAGCGTCCTAGGGGGGCGTACAGCGCCGATCCGAGAGGTCTGCGAGAGCCTCCGAAAGCTCATGCATCTCTGGCTATTTTCGTTGCCCCCTCCTCTTCTTATTTGAAGGGCTTCGCCTTCTGCCGCTGCCCCCCCCTGTGAACGCGTGCGTGGCGACGGTTGGTCGGTCGGTTAGTTTGTCTGCTTGTCGGTGGGTGGGCTGGCAACGCGGCGCATCTGGCTTGTATGTTAAGTGTTAGGGTTGTGGTTGGTTCGGGCTGTTTGCTGGCTGGCCGGCTGGCTCGCTGCGCGCGTCTGTAACTTCTTATATAGGGTATAGGATGGTGGCCTTGGGAGCGCGCTTCCACTGTGACTCACGAGGCTTCGGCGCTTTGGGAGCGCGCACCCCTAGCTCGTCACATATACACATATATGTATACCTATACACATACATACATACATACACATATATATGTATGCATGTATGTATGTATGTATGTATGTATGTATGTATGTATGTATGTATGTATGTATGTATGTATGTATGTATGTATGTATGTATGTATGTATGTATGTATGTATGTATGTATGTATGTATGTATGTATGTATGTATGTATGTATGTATGTATGTATGTATGTATGTATGTATGTATGATATATGTATGTATGTATGTATGTATGTATGTTGTATGTATGTATGTATGTATGTATGTATGTTGTATGTACTGTCTGTATGGATGGCATGATGTATTGATAAATGCATGCATGTATGTATGTAGGTTATGATTGTATGTATGTATGTATGTATGTATGTATGTATGTATATGTATGTATGTATGTATGTATGTATGTATGTATGTATGTATTTATGTATGTATGTATGTATGTATGTATGTATGATGTATGTATGTATGTATGTATGTATGTATACATGTATATATATATATATATATATATATATATGTGTATTCATGGCGGCGGGTCCAGAACCGAATTGTCGGGAAACCACGGTGGGGAGGCGCCCCCCGCACGCATACCCGAATACAGCAAGTTACAATATTCTGCACTGGAGGGGGGGGGAGGAGAGTGGAGGGAGGAGGAGGAGTGGAGGAGGAGGAGGACGGAGGAGGAGGAGGAGGAGAGGAGGAGGAGGAGGAGAGAGGAGGAGGAGGAGGAGGAGGAGGAGGCGGAGGAGGAGGAGGAGGAGGAGGAGGAGGAGGAGGAGGAGAGAGGAGGAGGAGGAGGGGAGGGAGGGAGGAGGCGGAGGAGGAGGAGGAGGAGGAGGAGGAGGAGGAGGAGGAGGAGGAGGAGGAGGGAGGAGGAGGAGGAGGGAGGAGGAGGAGGAGGAGGAGGAGGAGGAGGAGGAGAGGAGGAGGAGGAGGAGGAGGAGGAGGAGGAGGAGGAGGAGGAGGGCGGAGGAGAGGAGGAGGAGGAGGAGGAGGAGGAGGAGGAGGAGGAGGAGGAGGAGGAGGAGGAGGAGGAGGAGGAGGAGGAGGAGGAGGAGGAGGAGGAGGAGGAGGAGGAGGAGGAGGAGGAGGAGGAGGAGGAGGAGGAGGCGGAGGAGGAGGAGGAGGAGGAGGAGGCAGGAGGAGGAGGAGGAGGAGGAGGAGGAGGAGGAGGAGGAGGAGGGAGGAGGAGGAGGAGAGGAGGAGGAGAGGAAGGAGGAGGAGGGGAGGAGGAGGAGGAGGAGGAGGAGGAGGGAGGAGGAGGAGGAGGAGGAGGAGGAGGAGGAGGAGGAAGATAGGGGGGCCGCTGTTGGGCAGCCTCCGTGGGGTGGGTCCGTGGCCGCCTCGGGAGCGCGCGAGCCCGCTGCGAGCCAGGCATTAGGGCCGTGGCTTCGGGGGGGGGGGGGGGCTTCTGCTCCAATATGTCACGGTTTTGTGGCCTCGGGAGCGCGATGCTCAGGAGGGAAAGAGACACACAGATACAATTAATCGTCGATTCCCAGAAAACATGGGAAACTATTGGAAGTGGTGGGGAAGACAAAAGCCCAAAAAATATGGGAAACTATAGGGGGATCGTTTAATTTGTGTGTATTTATTTGTGTGTCCTGTGGCCCCTTTAGATGCTCGCGCAGTCCGTGGGGGGTCGTGGCTTGGAGAGCGCGAGCCTGGTGGATCACCACCCACCAAACCACCTCCACCCAACCCGAGGGCTTCAGTGTGCCCTCCATGTCCAGTTGGGGGGGGGTCGGGGAACATCGACAAAAACACGCGTGGAGCCCGCACCCCCCCCAACCCGAAATTGGGGTCTTCGGGTTGGGTTGGGGTGGTCTGGTAGGTAGTCAGTGGAAGTCACGCGGGGCTGTAGCGTCCGGGGCGCCGGGGGCGTACCTGCCTGCAGCGGATGGCGGTTTCGGGGGCGCCTGCTCGGCGTAGGCTGCAAGCCGGGCTGCGGCCTCTGGAGCGAATCTCGCGCAGCTTGAGAGAGCAGGTGCTCCCCTCGCCCTCATTCTTCCAGACCTCCCGTGCTGACCTTCCACACCCATGCGCTTCGTGAAACGCTGAATTTTCCTGCACTACCTGAGGCTTTTTGATAGTTTCAATGCATCACCTTCCGCGCCTTCCGCGGAGGTCGGAAGGTATGGAAGATGGAGGTGGAGGGTCTGGGGAGCGCGGGCCTGGCGGTTCTGGCAGCGGGAGCGCCAGCGCATGGTGATTCACGAGGGGCTGCGGCTTCGGGGGGGGCACGGTCACCAAGCAGTGCGGAGGGGGTGTGGGCCTCGGAGGCGCGGGATTGTTGCAGCTGAACTTGGAGTTATGGCGAGACTGCTGTGCTATGCAGAAAGAGTTTGCCGAGTCGGCAGCACGAGCCTGACGTAATGCATTAAGGATTGTGGCTTGGAGGCGCGTGCCTGGCGTACCGTGGAGGCGCGCATCAAGGAACCAAATGCTTCTCGCCAGGGTACCCTGGGTTTCTTCGATCCTCGTGCTGCGCAGTGGCTTCCCTCGGCCGCGAAAGGAACTGCTGCGTTCAGAGTGCTCTGGGCTTCTCCTCAGGTGTACCGTGCGCGCGGGTTTTCAGGAGGAGGAGGAGGAGGAGGAGGAGGAGGAGGAGGAGGACAAGCTAGGTGCGCTCGCGTCATATCTGACGTTCTACCCCTCCCTCCCATCCCTTACCATGGCGTTATTTTCTCTTCCGCTATCGCGTTTCGTAGCGGACCTGGGCTCCGCGCGCGCGGTCTTTTGGAGTAGTGGTGTGGTGGTGTGTTGACGTGGTGTGCGTGGTGTGTGCGTGGTGTCGTTGGTGGTGGTCGGTGGTGGTGGATGGTGAGTGTGGTGGTGGTGGTGGGGGTGGTGGTGGTGGTGTTGGGTGGTGGTGGTGGTGGTGCTGGTGGTGGTGTTGGTACTGGTTCTGGTGCGGGTTGTGGTGGTGGTTGGTGGTGGTGGTGGTGGTGGTGGTGGTGGTGGTGGTGTGTGGCGGTGCGGCGCGGTGGTGGCGGGCGGATGGGCGCGCGAGAAAAAGGCCCGCGCTGGGGCGAGAACGCCATCCTGAACGACGGAGGCCAAACACCGATCCGAAAATGAGGCCCACGCTG